ATGTTTAACATCCGCACTTAAATTGGTTGTATTTGGTGCAATTAAAAGCCATAACATGGATAAAAGTTTTCTTAAATCAGAAATAGGAGAGTGGGGTTATTTGTTACAGCATAAACATAAACAAAGAACACCTGTGCCTGCTAATTTTGTTTAAATCGTGTTTAAATAAAGTTACTGTTAAATTACACGGTAAATGGATACAAGAGGTAGTATACAATATCTTTTACATAAGATAATTTTTATATATTTTTGCTAAAAAAAACTTATGAAGAGATATGAAACCATGGACTTAAAGGAAAGACCATCTTTGGTTAATAATCCGAGCTGTAGAGCCTACTCTAGTCAATAATTCAGCCTTGTCAGTGCGTTCCGTCTGGCTTTACAGATAGAGTAGAGACATACTGTCTTGAAGAGACATGGATTGCAGGTCAGGTGAACTTTTCTTTCTCTCTCCTCAAATGGCACAAGAGATATTGATTCTGAGCCTCACTCTCAGTGAGCTTCACTGAACTGAAGCATTTTAAATAACTACAGAAGAAGAGAGGAGCGGCAGTCTCTAGTCCAGCACAATCTACAATGCTGTGTAAAAGTCTTGTGCCAACCCTCATTCCTTCATTTTTTGTGTTGCAAGGAACCAGACTTTCAAGTAAATTTTAAAAGAGTAATAATTGTCCTGCCTTTCTAGAGGTCCTGGAAGTTTTTCTTTGGACACTGGCTATTTTTCATATATTTTCAGTCCAGTCGTTGTACCTGATATTTTCCGAGGAAAGGCTTTTTTTTTTGGTTTTGTTTATTTGTTTGTTAAGCTCCTTAACAGTGACCTATGAATCATTCAAGTGAAATCTAGGAAAAACAGCAAAAATAACTGTCTGAACATCAAGGTGATTTCTAAAGAGACATTGGCCAAAATCTTGGTATATGCTGGCATGGCATGTTGCATCGTTCCTTGGAAAAACCTGAAGAATTAAGAGAAGTTGGAGGCCTAAAAAAACTTCCTACAGCAGCTGAAAAGTATCAAAAAGTCTTGATCTTAAGAATTAGGGACGAAAATCCAGCAAAGACTAGATAAAATACCTGAGAGATACATGTGGCTCTGCAGCAACTACTGTTTGCTGAAGACACATCAAAAATGGTCCCAAAAGAAGAGTGACTATCAAGATAACACTCTAAAGGAAGGGAAATGGGCATAAAGGCTAAGGTGTGGCAAACTGCAAAAGAACTGGACTAAAACAACACTGGCAACAGGTCTTATTGAGGGATCAGTCCAAATTTGAAATATGTGTTTTAAATCATCATTGTACAGAGGAGATCAGCCATATTTAAAACACCGTGGTGGCTCTGTCATGGTTTGGGGCTCCATTTCAGCCAGTGGTGTTTGGGGCCGTTATTGTACTTATGGACTCATCAACACAGAAAAGTACCATCTGGTTTTGGGCTGGAAAATATCTGATTGTTTCAACATGACAATGGTGAAAAATTACCAAAATGCAGGGAATTAAGCCTGGAGAACTATTCCTAAAGACTACTTTAAGAAATTATAAGAAAATTTGCCTGAGAGAGTTCACGCTCTGAAACTGCACATTTTTTTTCTGTTTAAGACAATAGTTTCTCAGTGTTGCTTTTCCAGAGTAATCTAAATCAGACTCCTCGGCAGTTAGTGGACCTGCAAATAGTTTGTTAAGAAAACATAACAACAGTTGGCAGGAAAATAGAGGTTCTATGTGAAGTACAAGAGCAAGTACTTGCCTGGACTCTAGTACGCTTTATGTAACAAGAAGTGTATTTGAAAAGTAGTTAGACTGTGCCATGAATGTAACAATTTACTCTCCTATGCTACTGCTAGGGATTCTCAAAGATTCTATCATAGTTTTTAAAACCTGCTTTTTATCAGAGTAATCACTTATTATATGCAGGTAAATACTAGTGTTTGTTTAAGTATGTTTGGATTAACCAATGAGTAACATCCAGCAGGTTCAACCAAACATAGCAAACTATTTTCTTGCACCATTCGACCCAAGATTGTTCGAGCTAGGACCCCAACGAGAGCAATTAAAACGCAGAACAGTGTGCTTTTGTTTGGAACCAGTCGCGCATTCGGTTTCACACCATTGGTTTTTCATCATGAGAGGATGTTTCTCTGAGGAAGGAAGCATGTGTACCGTGAAAAACCATTAGTTTTTGTTTATCTTGAAGCAGTATCATGTCTAACAGTTTTGAAAAATTACCCCAAATCACGCACAAATGCAAAGGAGCTTATTTTACGGTCTATTAGTGCACTGTTCAGTGCGCTTACTCCATTGCTTCTTGACTTTTGCTGAGAAAACTTTGGCCAAATGTATCAGGATCTTGGTACAATGAGTAGGAGTTTTTGTTTCCACCGTCATCTGAGGGCAGCTCATTCCCTCCATCTAATCTCTCTAGACATCCTCCATCAGTGTTACCTTCACCTGCTGTACTCAAAACACATGACCACCTTTTACAGCACTCTACGTGAAGAGCCAGGGGAAAAAGCTGTGAAAATGAAGACGTTTCTTCTAATTTCACACTCTGCGCTTGATCGTTAGGGTCTTATTATGCCCCATTTGCTTCCCTCCACTGGCTGTGATGAAAGCAGGGCAAAGAGGCCGTGACAGGACAAAAAGGGGCCCTTCATCAAAACACATTTTGTTTGGGGTCTTTTTTAGCCAGATTCAACCCTTCCCCCACATCTCTGCCAACACTTTCCTGGAGTTTCCCCTGTCTGCATCCCTCATTAGTAGCAACCCCCACCTGTCTCCACATTCATTTTATTAAACTGTGATTGCCCAATGCTCTGCTCACTACAAGCAAGCTGTCCGCTCTTATTTAATTGGCCCACAGCCTCCCTACTGCTCCTCAACAAGTGGGAAGGTCAATGGGTGCTCATGACCTGTGATGATGATGTCTGCCAATACTGGGCAAAAGACAGATTTTTTTCCTTTCCTGTTAACCATACCCGTGAACTGTAGCACGTACATCCATGCCTTCCAACTAATTAGGTTTTAATCTGATCTCTAAAGGTACCGGAAGGAAAATGCTCATGATTATAGTGAGATAATCAATATAAGGATTAACGCTAGAAATTCATTTATAAATAGATAGTCAAGAAGAGAAATATAAATAAATATAAATTTCAATTGAAACACTTTTTTTCTTTTTTAATAGGGAGACTTCAGTTTTTTTCATATTGCCTAGATGACTGGCCCATTTATGCTTTTATTTAATTTTTTAATGCAGCTTTCTTTTTCTCTCTCATTATTAGTATTATTTTTGGCTGCACATCAGACTTTTCTGTTTAGGTTGGCTTCTGTGATTGTTTGGGTCACGCCAAGCATTACACTAGCAATGATTAATTGGGACATGGGAATTAAGAACTAAAGCTGCTTTAATTAGTAAAAGTGTTTGATAGAATGCAAGTTTGTAACAGGAGGGGTGACTTTTTTCTCCCAAACCGTCAAAATCTGTCAAAATCTGTCAAAATCCTCACTAAGTGGGCACTAATTTGAGAAATTATATCAGCTGTGAAGTGAAGAGTGAAGGGGGAGGAAGAATGGTAGAAGCCGTAGCGGGAGCAGCCAATGCAAAGTGGTTCATGGGGGTGAGAACTGGATTCTTTTCTTGGCTGAGATGCTGGGGTCAAGGTCATGGCCTGCATAGTGGTTAGAGTACATGGTGTTTAAAGCTGGTTTGATCCTTAGCCAAGGGGCAGGAAATCCACAGAGGCTGCATCTGGACTCTGTATAGCTGAAGCGAGAACTTAAATTGGTGTGCAGAATGTGGACTTTGAAGTGGAACAGCATACTGAAAAAACCTGGAGTAAAATTTGCCCCCTGATTATTCTTTATATGATTACCTGTGTAATATGATTATGCCAGTTTAGTGTGACTTTGATTGTGGAAAATTCATGTCATGTTTTCTCAGTGCTTCACCATAGTGAAAGGCGCTTTCACTACATTTTCAATACCCCATAACAGCATGTGCTTTGAATGCGTCCTATTAAGTTACAATAAAAAAAAAAAAAAAAGTAGGACACGCTATCATATAAACCAGAGCCTCACTGCTGTGTTCAAGTGACTAATGTCACATCTCCAATTTCTCTTTGAGCGGTATAGCATGTGAAATATTTCTTTACTGAGAAAATGGGAAGGAGCAGTCGAATATAAGAAGTCTAAGCCTGTGGAAAAAGATTTCCTTTTCTATAACCACCCGAAATGCATTTATTTTCCCCAAATGAGATTCTTTCTAAAAGTTTAACACGTACTCTTAAATGCCATATTTAACTCTTGACAGACTCTACCATGCAAAAAACTGCTGCCCGATGAAGCTTGAAACTCAATTCATACCCTGACCTAAAGTATCCAGAAATTAAGCATTAGGAATAACTGAGCAACGTTTTAGAAGCCCTGAAGAGTGAGCCTTTTTTCAGTAGAGGAAGTTGTTTCTATTACTATTGCTACTATTGTTTTGAAAACTGTTATTTTATTGACTGTATCGAATGAAATGAAGTTAAGTATGATTCAAAGTAAGCATGAAACCTACTTTAATTTCTTAATAACTACCTTGAGAAGTTGGAGAAGGCTTTTCCTTTTCTCAAGGTAATACTCGTATTTGAACATGCTGGGAGGGCTGGTTCTCATTTGTTCTTTAAACTAGTGGAATGCATCCTTGTAAAGTTATTAGAGATATTATGTTTCCTCTTCCCACGTAGTCATTAGAATCAAAATATGGTTTTAAGCTGATTACTCGCAGTAATTGAAGTTATTAGAAGTGAATGAAAACATACCTGTTATTGCTGGAAACTAGGTAGCTCCGGGACTTGATGATAATTTCTGTTATTAGAAATGATCAGAGAACCTTATTGAATATGGCTTACGAGTGTCTCTGTTGCAGTTTTTTTTTTTGCTTTATTTTGTTTTAATGTATTTAAATCAAAGTGTTTTTGAAAACTGACACAAAATTTATTCCATGTCTTTGATCAACAGTGGGAAGAGGTGAGCGGTTATGATGAAAACATGAACACCATCCGGACGTACCAAGTCTGTAATGTTTTCGACACCAACCAGAACAACTGGGTACGGACAAAATACATCCGGCGTCGCGGTGCGCAGCGAATCCACGTGGAGATGAAGTTCTCTGTTAGGGACTGCAGTAGCATTCCTAATGTTCCAGGCTCCTGTAAAGAGACTTTTAACCTATATTACTATGAATCTGATTCTGATTCAGCCACCAGAACATCACCACCGTGGATGGAGAACCCCTGGATCAAGGTTGACACCATTGCAGCAGATGAGAGCTTCTCCCAGGTGGACCTTGGGGGCAGAGTGATGAAGATTAACACTGAGGTTCGAAGCTTTGGCCCAGTGTCACGGAATGGCTTTTACTTGGCCTTCCAAGATTATGGCGGCTGCATGTCTCTCATCGCTGTTCGTGTCTTCTACCGGAAGTGTCCTCGTATAATCACTAACGGGGCATTATTCCAGGAGACACTATCTGGAGCAGAGAGCACCTCCCTTGTGGCAGCAAGAGGGGTTTGTATCCCCAATGCAGAGGAGGTGGATGTGCCTATTAAGCTGTACTGCAACGGCGATGGAGAGTGGATGGTACCTATCGGGCGCTGTATGTGCAAAGCTGGGAATGAGCCTGTGGAAAATGGGACTGTTTGTCGAGGTATGTTTTGCTCTCTGTTTTCTCCTAAGACTAGTCAATCAGTCTTCTCTGTCATAACAGTGTACTCCATCAACTAAAGGATATAGTCCTTGCAATTTTTATCTCTTGTAGTGCACTAAGCTGTTCCGAGATCTATTTATTACAATGTAATTGACACTATAAAATGATATTAGGTAATATATCAAGAATATGATGGGAGGTACATATTCTATGCATAGCTTATTCAACATTGGGGCATTTCCATACAAAATATGATCCTATCCTTTTTCCAGCAGAAATAATAGTTGCTGGCGTTTGGATCTTAAACTACACAGCTACTGCTGGAAGTCATGACTACAGAACATGTTGAGTTTTTCTGAGCTGCCGTAAAAGGATGTGAATTGCAGCACCAAACAACACAGGTGTTTGGTTTAAAATCATAACTGCTTTTCAAAGAAGCAGTTGTTTATTAACTTTCCTGCTCTGGAAATTGCAGAACATTTAGAGTAGACCTTAAATGAATCCTTAAATTATACACAATCAGTATGTGATTTTGTTTTGTTTTATCTCCTGTATGAATACATTCTTTATTCCATATGTATATATGTTTTTTATTAATATTAGTGCTTTTAAGCATTTGAGTTTCTTCCCAGAGAAAAACACATCTCTGTGCATATTGTTCACAGTGATCAAGTTCAACAGATATTTAAATAAGACTACACACACACACACACATACACGCACACACTCAAATGCTAACAACAATTTTGAATCTGTAAAATTCTTCTGCTTGTAGTAGTGCCTCCTCTCAACCATTTTTCAAAATTGCACACATTTTCCTGTCAATTGGAATCCCTCTCAGGCAAATCGATTTGGCTTTTCAAAACATCAATGCACCCAACATTTACCTGTGCCATGCCCTATCCACACTGTGGCAGGTGGCATTTGGTCAGCGTGCTTAGAGATGTTGATCACTTGAAGCAGCACAGCAGCGTGTAACCTGCGGACTGCAGCAGTGCTGATCCAGCTCAGCACAACAAACCACCCACCTGCATTTTAGAGCGATGTGTTGCTGCCTCTCTTATGTGCACCTGTAATTACAGCGCATCCCCCAGCACCTGTGTGCTGGGAGGGAAAAACTTGATGGGTGCTGCCTCCCCAAACACTGTCAGGCCTGTTCAAGGACTACTAATGGGGACAGGCAGCGGCTCCTCCTTAAGGAATATGGGCCAATAAGAGGCATGTGAAGATGGTGCAGCAAGCTACTCTGATCCACATCCATGCATAATTACACTAATCTGCTTGTTTTCTGACCTACATGTAATTCACTGCATGTGGTGGATTGAAACATCTCAGGGGTGTCCTCAGTCATGGTGTATTTTGAGCTAAATGGGATTATACAATTAAATGTTGTCCACTCAGGGAAAGTATGTTGATCCACTTCATATCCTCACTGCGTTTTGCCTGCTCTGTCTGATTGCCTCCATATTTATTTCTCAGTTTCTGTTCACTGGCTTTGTTGGTCAAGATCAACTAGGATAAAACCTTTTTAATGGCCAATTTTCCCTTTTCGTCTTCAGCACCACTTAGATTTGGGTACTGGCAGTTATTCTGGCAAACATATATACACTACATGAGCTCAGAATTTCACCATTTTCTTTTCCCCTCCGTTTCCCTTGATCCTGTGATGCATTGACTCATTATTAAAGCTTTATGCGAGGGATGGATTATCTGTGAGTGCAGCTGTGGAATGCAGCACAATGATACAGAGATGGATTTTATGGCTCTATACAATAATTATGAGCTTCAGCACAAACAATTGGGAAGTGTGTCCTTTACCAAGAAAGGACATAAAACCATCACGACTAAAAAAAGATGTTGTGTTGTAGTTCCCAGATTGGTCAGAAGCCTTTTTGGATCGAAGACTGCCTTCAATTCATGTGCTCTCTAGTTATCTTCCTGAACACTGCAAACTGATATCACTACATTAAACTGTGGTTTGCCGCCGCCTTTCAGCTGCCAGAAGTTGGGTAATGAATTGATCTATGAAAGATGCACATATGCCAGCCGATATTATGGGGTAATGAATTGATTTGTGAGAGGTGCCCTCAGAGGGTTCGTAAGGTATCCTCTTACATGAGGGGATTATGGAGCTGTAGAGACAGCATAAAGGAGGCAAGATGAAAGACACTATTTGTCCTCTAATAGTAATAATGCAACCGGTGCTTTGTACCAACATCTCCTCAACTAAACGTGTAATTACGCATGTAACAATTAAACCCTTGGCAGGGATCCCGGCAAATAATTATGCTGTCATGAAATCTGTCAAAATATTGACAGCAGAATGGGGTGCTTACATCGAATTGCTGAGGCCTTTTTTTTTCTCCCTCTGCAATTGTCTTACAAGTGAGATTAAGTTTCTTCTCTAAGAAGTGCCATGAGTGAAGAAACCATACCAGACCCTTTCAGTAGAGCTGGCCCTGACGAGAAAGATCTGATTTCCCCTCAGAGCCTTGAGGAGATGGTGCACCACAGAGACACACGAGGTCCTGTTTGCCCTTGCTGTTCGCTCTAGAATGAAAAGCATTCTCTTCAGTGGGGCACAATGAGAGCCATGTTCATGGGTGGAATTGCAATCTCCTTTAACAATGCCCATGTGTGTTTTCCTGAGTGTAATCTGATCATCTAACCCCATGCTATTGTGAGTTCAAGGGTCTCGACTGTGGGAGTGTGGCTCATGTTATTGAGGAGTGAAGATTCAGAATGGAGACAATCTGTCACAGTGATAACAACAACTTGATTTATGTCTGGCAATGATTTTGATAGTCACTGTATCTAAGGAGAAAGAAAAGTATTGTAAAAGAAGTAGCAGTTTGTGTACCCTTGTGGCCCAGATTTGTTGGAGTAGTAATATTCTGTAACTCCGATATCTACCAGATTTATTGGCAACTACTCCAGTATTTAGACATACTGTTTATTAAAGAACTTCTCCCAACTAATAGTAGAACTACGTGTTTTAGGTCACATTGAAAAGAATTGGAAAAGTCTGTCTCCTGGTGAGGTCTGCATCATCGGTAGTAGGTGCTTGGAAGCAATGTTCCTGGAGTTATACCAGAGCAATTAGATTTAGGAGGAAAGGCTTCAGTAATTCTTCAGCCAAATGTGGCTATAGATAAAGAGAGTTAAGGGGATCGAGTGCAAAGGTAGGTGCTGGGCGGACATGATTGGATAGACATGATTGCATGGAAAAGTGGTGGGGAGGAGGCGAAACCAGGAAATGAATCCCCCTAACCCACTGTCAGAATCCCAATTATTGCAGCCTCTTCGTCTGGAGAGGCTTTAAGGATGGAAATCAGCGCAGCACAGACAAATCCACGCCGCTGCCTTTATTTCCCTCGGTGCCTCTGTCTTTAATGGCAGCTCTAATTGACTAACAGTGCACGTGGGGAACAGCCATGCTGATGACTGGATGGCTGTCCTCTGTGTGGAACAAGACACAAAGCAAAACAAAACAAACACACCCCCTCAAGGCTTCTGCTGCATTGTGCAAACAAAGATGAGGGAAGGTTTGCATTGGGCTGCAGTAACGGAGGGAAGCGAGTGAGGGAGAGAGAGAGTGGGAGAAAATAAGGGAAAGAAAGAGAGACCAAAATGTCAACAGCCTGCCTACACAATAGGCATTCACACAATATTATGTTAAAGTAAAAGCCTCTCGTATTCTTGTGGATTGATGGCTACTTCGGCTGCTGTTAGCTGTTTAGTTAAACATAAGGAATACAAATTAGTGCCTCAGCAGATGTTCATTACTGCAACATTTGCCTGTTAAATAGCATTACAGACAACATGACTTAATATCTGCATCATAAGCAGCAACCCTTAATTTCCATTACTGATTTCTTTCCCCCCCTACCCCCCTTTTCTTTTAAACATGGATCCAATAAAGGATTGTGATGTGTGTTTGATAGAGGCGGCCTCTTTGGTCTGTACACATTGTAGGATGTTGTAACAGCAGGAGGTGAATAGACGAGCTCTAAGACATGTCATTTTGTTCCCAGAGGGCCCCAGGGAACATTCAGGAGCCTTTATTCCTTCTTCCCCACTGTGATGGGATTTCAGTATGGCCAGGTGCTTTTTTTTCTGCCTGCTGGTCTTCTATTTCTCTGTCTGTTCTCCACCCTGCACACATCCATATAGCAAAAGGGTGAAAAACAAGAAGAATTAAGGGAGCTTCAGACAAGGGAAAGAAAGAGTCTAATAAGACAAAACTGTCAAAATGCAGCCGTGTTGTTAGTACACAGATCAAATAACAGTAAGCAGTCATTTGTATACCCATACACATGCACTTTATTATCCTCATTTTCACAGCACATTTATCATATGTAGATGTGATAACGTGACCCGCGATCCCTGCGAATCTCTCAGAATTCAAAGATCATGGCCTGTTAAGCCCGCAAACGTTTTCCACATGGTTTTGCACATGCCGGGCTCTGCTCCATATGCCCCTCTGTCACACTCCTCATTATCCCACACCATCTTTTGAATCTCAAATTCAGACAGTATGACCTCTTATAATCCCGGCACCTCTTTTCACATTATTGGCCTTCTCCTTGACTGTAAGGGCTTCCTGTTGGTCTGCTTTTTGCTTGTAACACCTATACCTGTCTCACTCTGAGCCCCAAGATACTATAGGTAGTTTTCTGGGATTTCTCCATGAATGCAAGGCAGAGTGACAAGTCTGAGACCTTATGGATTTATTTGTGATTAATTTGCCTTGGACAGGCAATTCTGGAAATGAGAGCCGTGCAGTGCACAGATCCATCCATGTGGGACTCTTTCTCATCTGAGACGAGGCCGGGGCTTTGTCAAAACATCCCCATGTGTTGTCTCTCAGATGTCCTCGACCCGTGTCCCGTTAGAGGAATCCTCGCTCTCTCAGCTAAGGGAGACTGATGGATAAAGCATCTGTCTGGTAAAAAAAAAAAAAAAAAAACAGAAAAAGAGAAACAATTGAGCTCACTGTT